CTTGTGACTTTTATTTATTTCCAAAAATTAAAAACAAGTTACGCGATCAACGATTTTCATCACCTGAAGAGGCTGTCGAAGAGTATGAAAATATGTTTCAAAGATTGTCACGGAGGAGTGGCATAAATGTTTTCAAAATTGGTTCATTCGTATGAAAAAGTGCATTAACGCTAACGGAGAATATTTTGAGCAACCATAAATTCATTTCTGATCATTTATAATATTTTTTCGTATTCATTCCGGAAACTTATAATGCGCCCGACGTATGACCTTTACATCATGCAAGAATATGTCAAATGTCGGAAGCAAGTGGGGAGCCACCTACCGCCTACCCGCCTAGGAGTCTTCAGCGCCCACTGGTAGGGACTTTGGATAAAACGTTAAGTTAAGTTAAGTTATGGGTTAAACGTTAAGTTTGTTTAACACCTTTCTTCACACTGATCTACTTAGAACCGAATAGTCGGTTAGGGGTCAGATATCCTAGGACATCGATTGTACGTAAGGATAAAGTAGGATGTAAAATATACCGGCAAATTTGATACCGACGAGTTTGAAACGGCTAACGTTGTAAATTCTACTATGGTACGATATGCATTAATTTTGTGTTCGACTATGCATGCGCCCGAACACCAATAACGATACATCTTTCGGGCCCCGGTTTTATTTAATGATAATTGACATTTTGAAAGATTCTTCAACACCTATGTCTGGAGTACCGCACTGTATAGATGCGAGACATGGACAATAACAAACAAAGACACAGAGAGATTGGAGTGATTTGAAATGTGGTGCTGGAAGGGAATGGAAAAAATAAAATGGATTGAAAAGAGATCAAATGAGGAAGTTTTGGAAAGGGTTGGGGAGGAGAGAAGTCTTTTGAATGCAATAGAGAGGAGAAGGGGGGAAATGTTTGGACATTTGTTAAGTAATGACGAATTTCTGAGAGTGATAATTGAGGGGTAGAAGGGTAAAGAAAAATAGGAAAACCAAGAAAGGCGTGTAATGAACATTTAAAAAAGAAGTTCAAAGTGAACAGTTATAAAGAGGTCACCGCTGTGCATCGTGAGGAGTGGAGGAGGCTACATCGACAAGAGTCTGACTCTTAAGTAAGATGATGGAATTTTTAATAAAAAATCAAGATCTAAAGTGGTAGTCCTGATTACATACTATGGTAACGGATTGTACATGTTCGGGTATGGACAACCATACATTTACTTACCTGAATAATATGAGAAATAAACAAATGGCAAATTGGGTTAGAAAAAACATAACTCGCGTAACTTGCGTAACTACACCTGCAACGTTTTTTTAATAAAGCAATATTTATTCGAAATACGGCATTTATTATTTCCTTTTTGTTTTATGGTTCAATGGTAAATTGGAAAACATCGATAAGAAGTATTTTTAGAGTCAGTCAGCGAAGTTACCTCCGTTGTTTACTTGTGAAACAATAGTACATTACTGTAGAGGCCGAGAAGTAAGGGATAGCTGGACGAGTATGAGTTACAAGGAGGAGCGCTATTATTTTATTTTTATTATTTTATTGTTTTAAGAAAAAAGTATACACAAAAAACGTAAAAGACCGTTAAACCCTACTTGGGTTTGTCTCGATGCCAGCGAGGTCTTGAATTAATACTAGTCAAGCAATCCCCGTTCCCGCCGAGGCATGTATAGAATTTTTCTCAAACAATGTGAGGAAATAATAAAAGACTAAAGAGAGGAAGGTGTGTAACAGAACAATTTTTAAAATATTAATTAATATTCAATTGCTAAAAGAAAATGTTATTATTTTCCCAGGCACATTAATAGTAGACTGCTGAACTTCTGATGATGTGTTTGAATGTGTATCTATTACAGTATTTTCGTTATTGCTCTTCTCACTAGTACCAAAATACAAAAAAAAACAAATGAATACTGAAACACTTTAGTGCAAATATTACCGCCATTTTTTTAAATTTTTATATCTTGCAATAAACACGGGAAGTTGGCTGTATGAGTTTTTCTTTTGCCTGTTTTCATAGTTCATTATTAGTAGGTAGATTTAAACATTTACAGTAGAGGACAATTTTCATGCTTACTTTGCAGGCCCTGGTCGGGAAGAAGTCGCATGTTCTATAGATGACAAACTTTCCGTGTTCATTTTTTGAAAGTAATGCGAACATTTCTATTTTAATGTTGGAGAAAAATAGATTTCAAACAATAATGTTTTTGTAATATTAAATAACAGGATGAACCTTAGTCTAGCGCCTGGTGGTAAGCGGCACTACGGCTTACGGGACCGCAGAGAACATTAAATTTATCAATTTGTATATTATGCTATAAGAATTGAAATAGATAAAAATAAAATGGAAGTAAATTAATTTGCTACTTTTACTAACATGAACTACCTAAAAGCAAAAGTTAGTTAAATTTTTCGATTAATTAATTAATGAAATAATGTGAAAATTTCAATTCTCTGAGACCTACTCATTGACTTACAATGACCTACTAGTAAATTAGAAAATAAAGTAAGCTCACCTTGCTATGCTCGAAACCTCTGTTGCTGACTTATGTTGATGAAAATGATGCATTATGCCATGGCTAGGTCTCATTTAAGAGCAAATTTTAGGGTAATAACCTTTACACTAAGGTAATAACTATGACTTAAACGTCTCCCTTACCGGCCATAACTGGATGTTCGACTGAATACATTGCGACCGAATTGAAGATACTGTACACTGTATTAAGTATTAAATAACATAATCATAATTATGTACCAAGCAACAAAAATGTTTAACCGACTTCTTATATCTTTAAAAAGGTCTTTGAAACATTTTGTTGATATAGGCGTTTGACATTGATTTCGTGTTTAAACGTGGTGGAGCGACATTTTAAAGTATTTTCACTAACGACTTCTTAGTTATTGTGTTCTATGTTCTGTCTCATATTGAAGTAGTCGGTAATTTTTTTTACCGATGCAGTCATAATAGTTATGGCAATAACAAATAAATTACAAAGATTTAATTGTAGTTGTAATAAGATTTATTGGTTTTTGTAGAAATGCTTCACTTTCCTTCATTATTGATATTATTCAAAGCATCACTTTACGGAAGCTCTTAATTGTTCTCGTTTGCCAGTTAACTGTAAAAGTAGTTCGTGGCTCTAAAACATTTTTTATGTTGTCCATATACAAATTATCTTTAGCCAAAATTCCTAATAGTAGTGGTGCAGGTGTTGATGTTATTAGTGGTATAGTTGTTGTTATACCATCTTTCGTAATTTTTGTTAAAGGTTCTGTAGTAATAATTACAGTTGTTATAGGTGATATTGTTGTAGGCGTTGAGGTTGTAGGTGATGTTGTTGTAGGCGTTGTTGTTGTTGTAGGTGTTGTTGATGTACGAACTGTAGTTGTAGAGGTTATTATTGTATGTGTTGTTGTTGTTGTACGAGCTGTAGTTGTTGTAGGTGTTGTTGTTGTTGTAGGTATTATTGTTATAACTGTTGTAGGTGTCTTAGTTTTCCGTGTAGTTAATGAGGTATCTGTATATTCGTTGGATTCTTTTATTTTCTTTTTTATTTCTATCATTTTTTTCTTTTTTGCCATGTCAGTAAAGAAAAAATCATTTGCCAACGGATCGAAGTGATTAGATCCAAATATAGCCCTGAAAATTAAGATTATTCAAATTAGTGTTTACTGTAAACTGAAATGAAAACCGTTTGCTAAACTAAAGTAAAACGTTTGCTAACTCTACGTGTACGAGTATATTAGGAATATCTGTGCATTTGTCCACACTTATCCCTTTATTACTGACACGTAGACTAGTTATGACTATTTCGATAAATAATATAAACTTAATGTATACAATATAATATTGTATTTTATATACTAGTTTATAAGTACAAAAATCCACGAGTGCCGTACGCTGGTGCGTCGTACCCGGAAGGCTCGCAACATTTTCGCTTTGAATAGATAAACTTACTCCTTGGCGGAAATAACTGCCAGTCTTGTGGTCATCGTTCGCTAGAAGTTTCGCCTGTGGCCCCCAGACCCAGATTTCGGCCGCAAAAGGTACAAAGCTGTAGCGCTGAGCAAGGTTAGTGTTTTGAACCTTTTGGGGTGCTCGGCCGCTCTGGCGATGGGTTGATGGATGGATGGATGATGTGTTGGTGATGGGCTACGTTAATAATAGGGCAGTGTATTCTTACCCTTTTTCTCGACTATACCGAATTATTCTGTTGGAATTAACATTATGATTTGAAATCTCCGCATGACAAACTCTGAAAAAAAAATGGTATAATTAGAGAGAAATAAAGTTTCCTGCTGCCAACGTCATGTACCTCTAATCAATCTCATTACTATGACGCTCTAGTCCTAGTAAAATCCCTAAATTAGACCAATGATACTGACGAGTTCACTAACCCTGAACCTAAATTTCTGCTGATTAATAAGAGACAGTCACCGCCTGAAGCTCTTTGTTCGAAATTTCACAGCTTGCTTTCGGGCTTTTCATGATCTCGTCTCACCTGATGGAAAGTGACGAGGAGGTGGACGATGTAGCATACACAACTAAATAATGCCTAGTCACTCTCGCCTTGAAAAGGTCGAAGATAAAGCGTTCGAGGAACAAGTCCGCAGGCAAGAATTCCACTTGATAGCCGCTCGCCATATGAATGTGGAAACGCAACGCTTGAACTGGTAATATCCACAACATAAAACATTGGGGTGAAACCCCAGCCCACGTCTAATCCCCCGATGATGGGAAGGGGAAGGCGGAATCAAATTATGCAATTACATCGCACACTCTCCGTGATATAGACCGATGCGTAGGCAACTTTACGTTACGGCGATGTTCAAGGCTCTGCAGCTTCGCTCTACTAATTCCGAGTCACCAATAAGCCTCTTGACACGCTTGTCAATTGAATACGAGGTAGCCAAGTACTATTTCGCAGAGCCATCCCATAAGTGGCAGCAGCACTCCATACACGACCAGACTTGTTCTTGCTACAGCTGATTGTCCCGGTGTGAAGCAACGCTTTCGAAGATCAAACGCTTAGAACAAAATCTCCTGGCAAACAGTGCCAGACGCTATGCCAACTAAGCCATGGAACGAACTAGCGGGCCTCACGAATTTTCTATGTGCTTGTTGTCGGATTTGTCGGATATTTGGTTTTTAAAGACCTTTTAGCCGTAGCGCCATCTATAAGAAATCTATGAAAGTATTTCGTCACTCAATTAGATACCTTTGCACCTACCAACCCTTGCTAGAGATGACGCTATTAACAGTAATTAATTCTTTATTGAATTGATATTCAATTATTTTTTCGTGAAATGACTTCTCTAGTTTGTGTAATTTTATTATTATCTGTTTTGTTGTCCATCTATTAAAATAAATAAATTACTACTTAGCGCCAGAAATAGGAAAGGTGGCAATACTTCACTGGACGAAATCTTTCACAAGGTAGTTTAATGCTTCTTATCTATATTTTCTATTTGTTACGCTCTTACCTTCAGGCTTCTATTCTATAATCCGTTAAAAATACTATTATATCGTATAAGATGCCTAAATGTACTCCAACACAAAACGAGCCCCCCGCATGTCCTCCCATTCCTATCCTGTGTCACTCTATGCGAATTGGCAAATTCTTTCTCCACGTTGACGAGCATTATAATGTATGCCGTCAATATGATAAGAAGATGGGGTGTGTTAATTATTCCACCTCCACGCGTGCGAAGTTCTTGAGCAGTCTGTGATGACATGTTGTCACAGAATGCCCAAGAATGTAGCCGGTACACCCTGGGGCCAACATTGACAGCTCTCGGCTTCAGTCTGAGTCTTACCAGTGCGCGCGCGAAGCGATCAACACGGCCCTTCCACGCGTTTATGGGGGTGGACCATGGCAAGTGGTGGGCTTAATTTACACCCTCCTACGTTCATGCCTACGCAGTTGAGGGAGTGCCGAGGTCGCTCCCCGAAGTCTTCAGCAAACCGAAGAGGTTGCTGAGATTCCTGAGGAGCTTGGGTGGCACAAGTAGGACCTTGCTGGGTGCAAGGTGCCACACGCAAAATAGGCACCTCGACGTCGAGTTGTGGAAACTAGCCCGTTACACCAAGCACCAAGTATCAAGTATGATAAGAAGATGCCTAAAACATATTTCTCCTTCGGTTCTATACTCTTTAAAAAGTTCTATTTACCAAGTACTCACACTAGTATTTGAAAGAAACTACTCCAATATAACATAGTAGTTTTATATAAAACGTCCACGATACTATGCGTTTTGCATTTCAATAAAACAACAAATATATAAATGTAATATATTGAATTTTATTATATTACGGATATGGTTTCTTATTTTTATGCCTTGATATTTCAGTGCCTTCAGTGAAAAACGGAATAAGACAAGTTATGCCCTTTTGTATTTATTACACCATTGGCTTCAGCGTGTCCGATTACGTTACATACATTATATAACAAATCAATAGGATATCTCTCTAGCAGTCTCTTAACGTCGTTTTTCTTATTGCACTAAGGGCATAAGTCTGTTTTTAAAGACATAATTTTAGTTATCGGGCATTTTTACGTGTCTAAAGGTGGTCACAACTCAAAAAATACATGCAAGTTTAATGAATAAGTACAGATATATTTTTACATAAAGACACGTTTCGTATTGTTCCATAATGACTGGAAAAAAAGTAGGACTAAAAGCGATTATTGCCTTATTCTACAGTGTACATAAAGGTATAACTGAGCATTACGTTTGTTCCACTGGACAAGATTGGTCATACCCGCGACTATACCGTGTTGCTATTGGTTAATAGTTCGCAACAGAAAACTAATCGTTTTATTCCTTTAACGATTTTAAGTCTTTTATCAATGTAGTTAGTATCATAAGTATTGTTATAACCATAGAACAGTCGCAGTTAAGGGAATAAGTCGAATTATGTCTTAAAGTTTGTTCACATAAACCGTGTTACTGTTAAGCATTCATAAACAAGGACGCAACTCGAAAAAAACTTAAAAATATACAGAAAATATGACTGAATGTTTAACTAATACCCATTAAACGAAAGCTTAGATGTAGCCATAGCGTCACGGTACGGTTTGCTAGAAGATGTCGGTTCGAATCCGGCCGGATCGAAGGGTTTTTTTCTAAGAGTCGATCTTTGTATTAATAATTACAACAGGAGACACATCCTGCAACCGAATCGAAAACCAGCGCTACAGTCAACCATGGCTGTGGCTTATGCTGAATGAAGTCCTTTTGCGCACGCCACAACCACACATGACTGTACAAAATTTGTAGTCGCTATATTCTGTTTTTGCTTTTTGTCTTACGTGTCTTATTTTATGTTCTTTTTTTTTATTGTGTTCTTTGTGTTGTTTATGAATTCTTTTTATTTTCTTTTGTTTGTCTGTGCTATCAATTTTTGTTTTTTATGCTTATTCTATTCTATTCAATAAAACATTTAATTACAGTAAATAGCGACATCTCTAGCCAGGGCTGGTAACTGTGAAGGTGCCTAACTGGGTAACAAAATACTTTCATACATTTCTCATAGTCGGTGCTACGACTTAAAAAACTAGATGTTTCTACAATGGTCCGACAATAAGCACATAGAAGAATTCGTGAGGGCCCCTAGTTCGTTCCGTGGCTTAGTTGGCATAGCGTCTGCACGGTTTCTAAAAGACGTCGGTTGGAACCCGACCATACAGGATCGAAAGGATTTTTTCTAAGTATTCGATCTTTGTATTAATAATTATTATCTATATATTTTCCCGTTTTTACGTCACCTCCACTGCGGGCACTCAATGTCATCACCAAATGCCCTTGCAACACTTTGAGATAAGTCAAGAAAAATACATAATAGATTGCATAAATTTTATTCAATTACGAACTATGTACACAGCTACCGATCTACATAATTAATTAAATAAATAAGTCAACTTAAACACAATGACATCGCAATCATTGCGATAAGAGCCATAACAATTAAGCCAAACCTCCGCGTAAGGTACTCCACCTCTAAAGAAGCTGTCAAAATTTCACTTACACAGTTTTCATGGTAGTTTGGAAAGAACCCTTTTGCTGCTAAGTCTTAAGGAATAGAGCAATAGTTATATTTGCGAAATCGTTGCGTTATCACATCGACTTTTTGTCGTAATGTCAATTGCCCCCTTTACACAGTCACTCTATCGCGCGTGATAAGGAGCGTACAAGATTGCGCGCGAGAAAGCGTACACGCGCAATCGTGCGCGATCACCTGTTTGAAAGTTTTTAAGCTAACGTTCTTTAAGCTCTTTTTCTAATTTATAAGCTCGTGTTCGTTTTTGTTACAACGGAGAGAGCGTCTGTGTAAAGGTTAATTGCGCAGGATTGACCGCGTGAAACTGTCGCGTGTTGGAGGGCGCGATTGATGAACGCATTTGCGCGGTCTTTCCCTTTTCCTTCCAACGTGTTTACACATGCGCTCAATCTGCTGTATCACGCGCCATAGAGTGTCTGTCTAAAGTCCGCTATTGTGTCACTATTTAAAAGACAAATCTATACCTTTCTAACAGACAATTAAAAATAAATAAGTGTTTTTTTAAATGATACGCCAACCCATGCTTCCAGTGCCAAGCAGATCTTTAAAGACCACCCAAGAGACCCAAAGTTAACTAATCCCATGTGCCCGATAGTTTCCCCTGTACTTATACCCTTCAAAACCGGAAAAGGCGTAAACGACATTTCGTATATTTATCAGGGGAGCATGTTTTAGGTTTAAATGACTGTTTTAAAATATTTACATACTGTTTTAAAATTTATACTTAATTAAAACCAAAACACCGACAATTACTGTTTGAAGAAATAGGCACAGTGGCTGTTCGTCTCATGATTATCTTTAATTCACGGAACTCTATGGCTAACGTATAAACTTCTTTTGATCCTGATCGGTTTATAATGGAGATTAATTAATGATATTTCTGTCTTCTTTGACCTCTACTGCAGAAGCTCTATATAGCAGAACTAACGTGAGTGCAATGTTGAATTTGTTAGCGATGAGTTTGTATATTTATATTAGAAAATTACATGTTCCAACGCCGCTAGACTACGAGAATAACTTACATTTTCTTTATCAATAATTTTACACGACTGTTGTGATATATATATCATAACGTTATAATGTAAAGCGTCTTGAAAAACATACGGTGATCGATTAACATAAAGAAAGATCGATGTATAGAAACGTTTTCAATCCGTGAACACTAAAACAGTACCAGCAATTTTATAATTAATCATTTTGGCGACTCTTGCAACTTGATATTGCCAGTATAGTTATAAAAAAATATATAACTACATATTATGACTGTATAACGAATTTTACAGTCTCATTACCGAACTTATTTCCCTTGTTTCTGTTGTATTAAAATTTGCTGTAGCTAATTATATCAATGTGTGACTTTATGAGGACGACTGTCAAAAACATCTAGTTTATTTATAATTTATATTCTAGCTTCTTCCATATTTAAGGGGCAATGTGTACGCTTCGATAATACGATTCCGGTTAATATTCAAATTTTGCCCAGTACGAGATTTAAAATATAATGACACAAAAACCTCATACAGCTTCTGCGTACTTGTATGACAAACTTCCATTCTAGTACACGTTTAGCTCTTGCAGATATTGTCGATCTAAGGTATTTGAATTAAATATTGTTAATGATAAGTGTATTCAAATGTACACTCACAAAGACAACTCCTAAAGTGTCTTGCTCATTCTTCTCAAGGGAATCTACCTTAATAATGAACAGTAGAGTTTAATCAATATGACTATTTCAAGTGTAATTTGTTTACTTGTGAAATAAAGATTACTTGACCATCACTTTGACAATGGCTTACCACAATTACTAGGACATAGCAGTGCGTAACAATTTTTTATGTCCAACTACACGTTGCATGTCATTGTATATGATAAGCAAGGGAGTCGTAACTTATGCCAGCACATGTAAACACGTACATACGCGTACATGCATTGAGCAAATAAACCTACTCGCGGTGAGGTTCGACCGTGTAAACGAGCGTTTGGGTGCACTATTTTACAATGAAGGCGGCGGAATAGGTATCTTTCTCAAAAAGTTGCATCTACAATTATTATAATCTGCAGGTGGCAACAGACTTGACGTTGTTGGGGCTAGTGCCGACACCGGTGATGCTGCGGGCAAAAACGGGTTGACCAGTGGTGCTGGTAACGCTGGTTGTTCTTTAATCACAACTGGTGCCTTAACTGGTACTGGATTTGCACATACTCTCCTTGGTACGTCCACTGCTTCCACCAATCTAGGCTTCACTTGTTGTTGGCATATAGGCATGGTCGGCAACATATTTGCTGGCAGGTAGGCGTTCGGCAATAGATTTGTAGGCACAACGCCGCTTGGCAGCACATTTGCTGGCACAATGTTGGGCAATGCGTTTGCGTAATACTCGTTTGCCAGCGGTGCATTGGCGTATGGGTAACTTTTTTTGGCAGCCGCGATTTTTCGCTGTTTCAACATGTCAAGATTCCCGGGTGACAGCATATTTTTTAATAAAGAATTCAATTGGTTCGCTCTAGGACGACATTGTCTTTGACATTGCACTGAATTTAGAAGAAAAATTAATGATAGAATGATGGCTGCTGTGTTTATTTGACCCATTTCAATCCTGCAAAGTTAAAAATGTACAATATAAATAAGGTGACAAATTGGTAAAAAAGAAATAATTTACTCTACATACCGATCCCTCCTACGTACAGAATCGTAAGCCCAAATTCACAACTTTACAGGAGAACTTTTTAATGTATTAAAAGGACTAAAATGAGCATAAAACTACTACTAAGTATTTCTATTAAATTTGATGCATGCTCATTATTTCTAGAGTATAATTGACCTATATAAAAATAAAGTGATTTATGAGAAAATGCACATATGTTTGTGGCTTAGAAGTAGCTTACATGGCAGGGGTTGATACTTAAAAAACTATCGTCTATGAAACATCCATATATTATATAATTATAAATAAATTGAATTAGGAAAGCATAGTGGCAACCATCCAAAGAGGTATTATTGTACCTGGATATCTTGTACCTTGGGTACAAAAGCACCTTAGGTACAAAAACACCTCCTAACTTCGGTAAATAGTAATTTTTACTACAGTGCGCTTTAAAGAGACTGAGGCTCTTAATTAAGCATTTAAAATCAATCTTAAGGTCACATTAATTGTGTTAAATAAAAAACAAACGACGATAGGATTTAATGTCTGCCGTCCCCTAACTACAAAACGGCTAAGTGATAAAATATTTTTTTTAAGATATCATAAAAAACTGTAACCCAGTTCTAGAATATCGAAATTCTTTAATGATATTTCAGCTATGCATCGTTAAGGTAAGTTCCGATAAATCCAACACGTTGACTTATTTTAACTGTTTTTAAAAGAGTATCTTTTGCTATTTAAAAACGATATTTGACCATTTGTCTTTTACCATTAACAATACGAATTATTTACTCAATTAGAATGAAATTGTTGTACGTTACTCAATATTATAAAAAATATAAACAAAATAAAACTATTACTTGACGAGTAGTACAGCAGTATTTATTAGACATAATAATGTCTACTTGAAATGCAATTTAGATTTGAAAAAATAGTTTCATATGCAATCGCGAAATTAACTAAAATACGGTAAAAAGACGACAATAAATGCCTCGCCTTTATTGTTGTTACGTAATGTCAATGTATTAATAATAAAGACTCTTTTTTTAATACATCATCCACGCAATTTATACGTCGCACTGTTGGGCACGGGTCTCCTATCAGGCGAGGGCTTAGTCCATGCGGGATGGGGACTTCACACGTCTTGTGAGCCTACTTCGACGTGCAGGTTTCGAAAAACCGAAAAACTCGAGAATAAATAATTATCGAGAAACTCACAGGTGCAAGCCCGGATTCGAACCCATGGTCTCTGCTTTACTACCACGGTTTTTGCCTTTTTTGAATTACCCTGTGTATAATAAACGGCTTAAAAAACTTACCTTACAATTTCCTGTCTTGATATAAAAACCGATATGATCATATTAAAAAAACCGGAATCTTTTTATATATAGCATATTTTGCAAGTTTTAATATTTATCTTTTTTATTTAGTAAGATATTGATTAATCGTTTTTGCGTTAAACGCTATCTTTTAATTACGTATACTTTTTATTTTTCTTGTTAATAGATAACTTAGTCAATTAAATATTATCTTTTCATGTTAACGTTACTTAACCACTTTATCGCGTGTATTTTTCCTTGTAACTTTTAAGTAATAATAACAATAATAATAATAAAATTATTTGCCATAATAATAATACAACATGTATAGCGTACGGTAAGTAAGTATCAAAGAATCAGTAGATATGACCGCTGGTACTTACAAAGGGAAAACCTGTGCTATAAGTACCAGCAAACCTTCCAATAGCGTAGTCAAATTTACAATTTATTACGTTATTTTATTTATACATTATGGAAAAATAGTAATAACAACTAGTAGTAATTTGTGGAGACAGCAAATGAGTTAAATTAACTTAATCTAAAATTATATAAGCTTTATAAATAAGTAAGTAAGTCTCTCGCTAAAAGTGTATGTGAGTGTGTGTGTGTGTGTGTGTGTGTGTGTGTGTGTGTGTGTGTGTGTG